AAAGTGACCCCTGCGAATTTTGAGAAAAAAACAAAACAAAACACAAAACAAATTTTGGATATGGGGAAAAAAATCCTAAATATGCCCAGCAAGATGAAGAACATGACAACACTCAGCAAAATACTCGAGAGAGCTACACGCGGTAAACTGTTATGATGCAGGAATGCTGGACTGCCGGAGAGGCATTGAGGAGTAATAACGCTCTCTGATTGGCTACTTTCAAACCTCACACCTCTGAGTACACTGGTATTTCACCATTTAGGTATTTCAACCTTTACAGTTGCTTTGTTTTCTCTCTGTGGTACTAAAAAATGCACATAGATTTATATATTTTTTATGGAAACTTAGCGGTATTTCTGTTAACAATCTATGTCTGTGAGTGACAATTAGTGAATTATATTGTTCTAAATACTTTAATAATAAAACGCATGGCAAATTATATATTGCCATAGAAAGACTGTAGAGGTTATTTACAGTTTCTGTGAAATTGCCAGTGTTTCCATGAATTATTAGTTATGTTTCAAGGATCTGTTGCTAATCAGTCTTATCTTTTATTTATTTCACAAAACAAAGTGTACTCACAGAATTAAAACCCAACACAGCTCTTATTTAGGATCATTGAATGTATAAAAATAAATGTATTTCTAAACAAAATAGTAATTGCTTTAACAGAACAGCTTATTCTCTCTCTGTTATGTCAACTAATATTTGTTATTAATTTATTTAAAACATGTCCTGATGGGAGTGGTGTATTTTTAAATTCCTTCTGTGAATACAGCATAGGTTCCTACTCATGTTCATGAACACTGCTTTCACTTAAAAACAGACTCAGTTGGTACTAATAAATGTTTTTCCTTCTGCCTCTGCACAGATTCAGCAGTCCCTCGCTAGCATCCCCAACCAGACCCTCCTGGTGATCGCTCACAGGCTGAAGACCATCGAGAACGCAGATCAGATCGTTGTTGTAAGTGGTGGCAAAGCTGAAGAGCGAGGGACTCACAGGGAGCTGATGGACATGAAGGGAAGCTACTACAAACTGAGAGAGGAGCTCTTCACTGAAGGAAACTGAGTCTGTGCTGAAGCTCGATGTCCTGAGATCTTTGTGTGTAAAACTCTGCTGCAAACAGATGTGTGAGAACGAGACGGAGGCTATGTAAATATTGAATATATGTTGTTTTGTATATATTTGCTAATAAACCTTTGATTAAATTATACATGTTTGATTTTTTCTTAAATACGTATCTTCATGATCTATTCTTGTTCCATTTCCTGGCTTTTGATAAAGGTGAATAAATGTTTAACACGTCAAACGTATGAAGCCATAAACCTTCATTTATCGTTAATCAGAGAGATCAAAGGTTACTTTATTTCCCTCCAAAAACATCACAGAAAATTAATCACAGACTCATCGAAATGTGCTCGATTGTTTCCCATATTTACTTAAAAAACTTTCACGGGACATTTAATGGTTTTGGCCATTTGATAAATTTTTCCCAATGAAGGAAAAACTGAGACGGTCACCTTTTCAAAATGCCACAAAATCGGTGCAGCTGAAATGAAAATAATAGTAACCTGTTACTTTACTGTGACAGAAAAAACAATTCAAAAATAATAAGTAATTGTACTAAACACCTAAATTATATTAATACTCATGCTTGTAGTAATCTAAAGGTTTCTGTGACACATATCGGTGCCTCTCCTGTTCATCGTCTCTCTGGTATCTCTGGTTTTGAACCATCGAACTGCATTTTTGCCCAGAATGAAAATGAAAGAATTTTTGATGCTTAAATCTAAGTCAGGGTTGGGTTTTATTGTTCGAGCTGATGGAAACTCCCCGAGTGTCAGAGCTGTTTTTACTGGCAGTGAAGTTTCTGGAAAGTTGCCTGATGCCATAAACACAAAACACAGCGAAACACCAACCCCCCCTATCGACAACGATCAGGCTCACCTGAACCAACGTGTCGCCATTTGGTCATTAGTCTGTGAATCCACGAAATGGCGGCTGAGGTCAGGTGACTCAAACAGGGTCAGCATTTGTTTCTTTTGATCATTAATGAACTTTAAAACGTAACCAGCACTGTGACTTTAAAGTTTTATGAACATGTTGTATTTGTACTGCAGCCCACAGCTAAAACAGCACACGTGTGTTAGAGCGATTTATAAAAGATGACATGAAAACTCAAACAATGGAAACATCACTGCTGTGTCTGCTAATGACGGGGCATTTAAAACAAGTTTAATCATCTTCATTTTTAGCTAGTCTTACGGCCCCAGCAGGGCCTCCTCCTGAAGGTGCCTGTGTGGGCTTGACCACCACCTCTTCTTCCCTTTTGTGCAGCTGACTCTCATCAGTGATTAAAGAGATTTAAGCCCAGGGAAAGGTGAGTTCTGGGCCAGAGTGCCATGTGAGTGGTTACAGCTAGCAAGCAGTGCGTTTGGTGTATTTGCAGCTAGTGAGCTGCTCTCTCTTTTTGACTTACTTTTTACTTTATTGACCAACGCTTGAGTTGTGTTTGTTTTCCTTAAATGGTGATAGCGGCTTGTCCGTCTCTTTTAGTTGAGCTACTTTAATAAAACTATTTACTTGCCTCCTTGACTCCTTTTCCTGACACTTTTTGTTACTTCCCCCTCACCGCCTAAACCCCTCAGGGGAACGTAACACTAGTCTTGGTGCCATATTTTCCCCTAACATTAGATTAACTTATATTCTTGTTCTGGAGTGACATTTGGTCTTTTATTTTCACCTAAGTCTCCGTGTCACAGTCCATCTGAAAACAAACTTTTCTTCGATGGTTAAACTCTGATAGTTTGACGTTCCCAGGTTTCTGCTGCAGGTGTGACTCATTGCTAAACTTGGCTGTTTCCCATCCACAATCCTGCACCGCCTGCAGGTTAGGAAGGCAGGAGGGCGCAAACTTCCATCCGCCATCTTAGGCCGACACTGAACACTGAGTCACAAAATGGCCGACGAGTGCAAATAAAGTTAGACACTCGGTAAAATGACAGACAATTCCCCTCATAGTGTTGGTGTAAAACAAAAGAGTTGTGTGTTTGGTGGAGACTCAATGTGCACCTATAAATGTGTTTATGCAGCATGTACACGGGTGTGTCTCTGTGTGTGTTTGCGCCTCGAAGCTTTTGCCGAATCACGTCAGCGCCACACGCTGCACCACACCACCGAGGTGGAAAGTCCCCGCTCTTCATGCTTTCACTTTCTTTTTATTTCATAATGCTTTGGTATCCAAACCACAGACACGCCCAAAGTCTTGTGACCAAAAACACCAAATCTGCGAGTCGTCTTTTAAAAATAATAAATCAACATCACCACTGAACTGAACAATATCGATCATGTTGCTGCAGAATCGCTCTGCAGGTAAATATTTCCTCCTGGTGTTTATGTGGATGTTACTTTGGCACGCACTGAAACGCTGCTGCAGACCGAGTGTAACAGGTTTTATTTTTGCTTTGTGCTATGAAAGCTGACGAGGTTTAACCTGACACGGACAATGACGTCACGTTTCTGGAAGATGCATCTAAAAGAAATAAAAAACACTCATGTTAAAATGTGCACTAACAGCAGCGCCCCTCCACACATCGAAAATGCAAACTGAAGCACAAACTCACAGATCCCAGTCTGAGCAAGGAGTCAGATCCACAGAGGGTCGACCTGCAACCCCACCCAGACCCAAAGCCTCCATCACCAATGTCCAGACACAGCAGGACACCTGCAGAGCTCCTGTCTCCACCCATGCCCTGATGCTTCACAGCTGCACATTATTGCATATTCTTAACCATAACCATTATTCCAAGTGAATCTTTTTGTCTATTCCAGTACAAAAACACCAATCAATCATTTATCCAACTAAACTGATTGTGTAGTTACAGAGCTTCGTTCTGCAGGAAAATATTGTGTTTGCAGGAACTGGTGCATTGGTTTTGCAACAGTAACAGACAGCTATCAGGCGCCATTTATGATCCTGGTGATTGATTTTATTATAATGAATAGAACAGACATAGTATGATGAACCCAAACTGAGTTTGACGTTTGGTGGATTTGTCACCTGACAGGTTGTGTTTGTGTTTGATTCTATATTTGATATTATTTAATCCAGTCTGCAGGCCAAACAAGCGCCTTGAGGCGACATTTGTTGTGATTTGGCGCTATATAAATAAAATTGAATTGAATTGAATTGAACAACTACAATTGAACTACATGGATGTTTTTCTGTGTACACATTCATATTTTTGGCATTTGATCAACGGCTTGTAGTTTGGTTTGATTTCTGTACTGTCAGCTAGGACACGTTGACCGTACAGAAACAAACTTGTGTCCTTTGGAGCTTCATCAGGGTCAAAAGGCCGGCTGACCTGAAAATATTTACTCTCTACAGTTTCCACCATTGAGTCATGAAAACAGCTCTACCTTTATGGTGTCAGGAGTGCACGATCACAGAAAGTTCTACATTATTTATTTTATATTACATTTTCTGTCCCTGAAACTCTTTGCTTGCTGCTATGCAGCAGCACAGAGCACTGACAGACTCTGCAGAGTCATCCTCACAGACTGGACTCAGTATAACATTACACTCACTTCTCTCTAAATCAAATGCATCAAATCAGCCGATGCAGCACGACGCGCAACAGAATGACACCAGTGCAGCTTTATGGCATCACATGTTGTTTGAAACATGAGAACGTGAGTTTGAACAAAGCAGAAATGAGCAGAAAAGGGTTAGAACAGACATGTAACTTGAAAAAAATCACTGATCTTAGAGAAATAAGATGATTCTTGACAATTATTTTGATCTACAGTTTTCCCTGCAGTAATAACAGCTGCATATCTTCACTGTTGGGTATTTTGTATTGTTTTATTGTCAGGTAAACCTCCCCCAGTCTTCTGTGAATCCCCCAAATTCCCCAGATAATCGCAGGAGTTGCAACATTTAAGGCAGGACATTTGTAAGATTAAAGTCGAGAAGTCGTTTCCCAGTTTCATAGCAATGAAATATCCAATCAAATACATGCTGTGTCATGCGGTCAGCTGGGGGAAGTCCCAGCAAAAATACTGAAGCTCTGGTCTGAGATCTGCTGTTGAGTGCAGAGAGAAAAAAAACAGAAACCAATCCTGTACCAGCAAAACAAAACACATGACCTGGATCTGTGATAAAGGCAGAGTAAGAGCGCCGCGCCTGGCTGTGTCTGGCACTTTACCAGCAGACATGTGATTTACTGTAAGTCTGGCAGTTTGGTAAAGATGGGACTCTCAGAGAGCTCTGACTGCAAATGACTGACATCTAGTGAGAGAAAAACAGCTGAACATGGAAAACAAACTGCTCTCACTCATAAACCACAACAAGTGGTTACAGGCAGCGCTGCCACGCTCCACACACCCGTCAAGGGTCGTTGTTATTATGTTAAGATCAGTCACAGCAGTGTGTGAATCCACAGCAGCTCACAGAAACCCAACAAAACCAGATCAAACTGTGGCAACAGACAGAGAAAGCAGCTTTTCCTGCTTATAGAAAACTATAATGTGACTCACTTTACATATAGTTAAGCTCTCTATATGTCAGCAGGTCTACAGATAGAAACCTCATTATGACTCTGCGAGAGGCCCTGACACAGAAGCTTTATTCAAAGGTCACATGAGGACAGGCAGACGCTCAGGATGTCGGAGCTGGTGGGAGGATTTACTCAAAATAGAGCTGTGATAAAGATCATTAGAAGACCAGCAGACCCCCAAAGTGCTGATCTGCAGAACTTTTACCAGAAAACCGAAAACGTGACTTCCTGTAATTCAGCTTCACTCTGTCACTCTGGCTGCCTTATATCTGGGCAACAATATTGAAATAATAGATTTTGAGTTTCCCACTGAAAATATTGTATTAACACTGTTGTTAAAACTAAGTATTACTCAAACTCACACTTGTACTTGAAATTCTTACCAAACTGTCCAGAAACACCAGATAAAGACAAACTGGGACACCTGTGGACCAGTTTGATTGAGCTCATCTGGTTTTTATGCCAGTTCACTGGAACTGATTCCAAAATCCACAGACTCCCGTTTTAAACTTTCTTCAAGTTATTTCGTAACAAAAAATTTGCATTAAAATAAACAGGATGCTGTTTTTAGTAGCAAATATTCTTATTCCAGCTTTGTATTATTACAAACAGAGTTTTGTATGA